CAGATCCTATGGCCAATAAAAGGAAAATAAGGTGTATAGATTTGTACTATGCCAACTTAAGTGAAGCTGGAATTTCATTTTCCAGAATTCTCTCCATTGCATAGCTCTGGGTTAGTGTGGACCACGAGTCATTATGTCTGAGCTGTGAAAGGCAAAAATTAATCATCTCAGAAAGTTGGAGCATACTGTCACTTATTTTTTGGTTCTCCTTGTTACTGTGAGGCAGCACGTGTGCTTTCAGCTCTTTGTAGTTTCTGCCAAATTTCTTCCTTCCGCTTTTTTGAATCTTGAGCCAGGTATACATTTAGCTAGCTGCTTCTGTAGGAAAGCCCATTCATCTAGATTAGGAGTCTCAGTGGAATAAGAGAGCTCAACATAGATTGCAATGTATTCTCATGGACTGAGCTCATCCCCACAGGTAGAGTTTGTCCTTACTTCTACCATGGCACATTATCATCTCTTCCTAAGTATTCTCCCTTACTGACTTCAAATTCCAGAATCAGACGTGAAATCTACAATCGCCCATAAACTATTTAATCAGCTTCCACATTCACATTAGGTCAAATCCAAATAAATTTGACAACTTATGAAAAATAGACAAATTCTTTGAAAGACACAAATTACCAAAGCTTGCTCAAGAAAAAAACAAGTAGCTTAGATAACCATATGTGTGTATGTAAAAAACAATGGAAAAGAACAGTATTCAGAAATAAACTCACACATACACAACAAAATAATTTTCATTGAAGGTGCCAAAGGAATTCAATGAAAAATGCAAAGTCCTTTCAGAAAGTGATACTGCAACTGCATATATATATGAAAAAAATGAAACTCATCCCCTACCACACACACACACACTCACTCTCTCTCTCTCTCTCTCTCTCTCTCTCTTTTCATTCAAGAGGAATCACAGATATAAATACAGTTTCCAAAAGAAAACAGGAGAAAAGCTTTGCAGGCTTGGGATAGGCAAGATTTCTTAAGACACAAAAAGTACTATTCATTTAAAAAAATTGTCAAGAGGACTTCTGTTTATTAAGAGATACCATAAAGAAAATCAAAAGGCAAACTACAAACTGGAAGAAAATATTCACTATGCACAGATCTGATAAGTAACATAAAAAGCATTAATAAAGCAACTAATAATCCAATTAAAAACTGAGTAAAAGACTTGAGATGACACTACACAAAAAGTATACCAATGACCATAAAAAGCACATAAAAGGTACTTAACATAAATTATCAGAGAAATACCAATTAAAATCATGGGACAGCATTTCATACTTAATAGATTGACTTAAAATACTGACAACACTACGTGTTGGCAAGGATATGGAAGTATTTGAATTCTCATTTATTGATGATGGAATATAAAATGGTACAACCATTCTGAAAAACAGTTTGGGTATTTCCTATAAAGCTAAACATATGCCTGCTCTATGACCCCTCTTTTCTATTCTTATACAAAAGAACTGAAAACATTCATCCACAAAAAAAGGTATATACAAAAAAGTTTGCAGCTTTATTCATAATGCCCAAAACCTAGAGATAAATACCAATCAAAAGAAGAATAAACAAATTGTGGCATAATCCTACCAGGAATAAGCTGCTGATACATGTGATCACATGGATGAACTTCAAGTGAAAGTAGCCAGATACAGTGAGTACACACTGTCATGATTCCATTTATATGAAGTCTAACAAGAGGTAGAACTAATCTATGGTGATAAAAATCAGGTACACTGAATGCCTATTGGAGGATTAGCTGGTAGGGGCACACAGAAACTTTACAGAATGATAGAAATGCCCTACATCTTGATTAGGGTATTGATTAAACAGGAGTACAGATTTGTACTCATCAAATTATATACTTAAGTACATTTCATTTTATGCAAACTTTATCTCAAAATAAAAAGAAAAAATTCACTCATGGAAATTTCTTTACAGGATGAAATTATATTTTCCAGGCTGAGCATGGTGGTTCACACCTTTAATCCCAGCACTTGTGAGGCCGAGAAGGGAAATCACTTGAGGCCAGGAGCTCAAGACCAGCCTGGACAACATGGCAAAACCCCGTCTCTACAAAAAATACAAAAATAGCTGGGGGTGGTGGTGTACATCTGTAATCCCAGTTCAGAAGGCTGAGGAACAAGAATCACCTGAACTTAGTAGGTGGAGGCTGCAGTGACCTGAGATCATGCCACTACTGCACTTCAGCCTGGGCAACAGAATGCAACTCTGTCTCAAAAAAAAAA